GATATTGAATCCATTGTTGAAATACTTCCTGTTGGGATTCAGTGGCTTTTTCAGATCTAGAAGACTCACCTATCATTTCTTGAAAACATTTAAGGATAAAAGCAAAACAAATATACAGACTTTTCTAGAGACTAGAAAGTGAAGGAACACGCTTCATTAATTCTGAGTTCATTTTCTTGTATACTAACATCTTTTATAAACAGAAAAATTCTAAATGAATATCAAAAAGTATAGAGGTATGTACATGTGCACATGTATATATTTGTATTCCAGTAGTGCATGCTTATTTTAAAGTTAAAAACTAATAACATCACACCATATTAACAGAATATGGTGAAAAATCATATCATCTCAATTGCCAATAATTCAACACTAATTAATGTTTAGCATAGTGTTTATGTGCTGGGTAGGCTGCTATCCACAAGGTCAGGAGTTCAAAATCACCAACTGCTCAGAGAGAGACTAATAAGGCTTACTATTCTCCTAAAGATTCACAGTCAATGAAACTCTCAAGGCCAGTTTTACTCTATCCTGTAGGGTCAACATGACTCGGCACTGACTAGATGATGTGTTTGGTTTGGATTTGAATCCATGTTTAACAAAGGAAAATCTCCTCCAACTAGGAATCGAAGTGTTTCTGTAATGTAATACAAGATAGTTAACACACACATACACACAAAAACACACAACGGTATAGCAAATTTCAGCCGGCAAGAAATAGAGCTTCTCAGTGTAAGAGCCAATGCGTTCTGTGAGACAGGACTGTCATGTTGTCTTTGGATTTCCCTACACGATATCTTGGTGTGGAGGAAGTTTGTCGTGAGTAAGGGTTAAATAGTGAGTGTGAAAATAGAGATAAAAGGGATTGCTCAAGGAGTATGCCTTGCCCTCATTGATGGGGTGTAAGATTTTGGCAGGGTGGTGAAATGGTCCTGACTTTTATCTGTGCTGAAAGGACCCATCCAATAGCCCTTGCTCCCATTATTATTTTTCCCCAAATTTTTCAATGAAAATCTATACAGTGAAATTTACCCTTTAAAATTTTACAATTCTGAAAGTTTTCACAAATGTAGATAGTTACTATAACAACCACTCTACTCAGGAAAGAGAACAGTCCCATCATCTTTCAGAGAATCCATTTCCCTACCTCTAGTCCCTGGCAACCACCGATCTCTTTTCTATTCCTATAGTTTTGCCTTTCCCAGAATGTTAAATAAAACATATAGTAGAAAACCTTTTGAGTCTGGCTTCTTCCAGAGCCTTATGGATCTGAGCTGAATCCATGTCCTTACATGTGTCAGGGAAGGTGCTCTGTGGCACAGTGCTCAAAGAGCTCAACTGCTACCTGGGAAGTGGGCAGTTGGAACTGGCCAGGTACCTTGAGGGGGAAAGATGCTGCAGTCTTCTTCTGTAGATCTTACGGTTCTAGAAACCCCCTCGGCCAGGGCTGCCCTGCTTGTAGACCACTGAGTCAGAATCTGCACAGTTCTCATGGGTTCAGTTCGTTTGGGTTGAAGGTTTAAGTAGTTCTCTTTTTCTTGTTGATTAGGATTTTGTTGACAGGATGTACACAGTTTGTTTGCTAATCCACAGTTGAAAAAATTATGGGGTTGTTTCTAGTTTTTGATGAGTATATATATATATATATATATTTGAACATGGGTTTTCAGTTCACTTGGGGACTATGTAGACATGAAACTGCTGGATCATGTACTATAGACTAATGTAAACCTAAAAAGTACTGCTACTAGGATTCTAGTTCATGCATACACAGTTTTATTCCAAACAAAACATGTCCTATTATCAGTGGATGGGTGAAGCCAATTCTTTCAGTCATACATGCGCTTTAAGCTTTAAGCTCATTAGAAGCCCTTGGGTAAGCAGTGGATTTAAAACCACCAGGTGCCCCATGGAGAAAGGTGAGTTTGTCTGCTTCTCTAAAGATGTACAGTCTAGGAATTCTACATGGGGTCACTGTGAGTTGAAATTGCCTCAACAGCAGTGACTTCTCCTGTTTATTCTTGGTTTAGTGTCTTCAGGGTGCCTTCAAAACAAACAAACAAACAAACAAAAGATCCAATCCAAACAGTGACTTCTGCGAATATCTGCTGGTCCAGCTACACTCCGGCAGAGCGGCGAGTTCAGAAGGTTATGGAGACAGATCTACGGGATTGCCAGGGGTGGTCTTCATACCATTTCTTGAAGGAAACAGGGCGATCATGGGGCTTATTATGAAGTTAAAAAATGAAACTGCCTTGATGAATAAAAGGCCGAGACAGTTGTGCCTAGAGATGCTTCCCATCGCAGAGATACACCTGCTTGTTCTTTGAGCAA